TCCTCCTCCTCCTCCATCAACGGTTGGGTGGCTGTTAGTTCTATCATCGACAGTGGAATGATGGTGGGTAGACACGACTACGTTGAAGGTGGGTATCCCACCTAGGAGGGTGACAACTGCCTCCTATCCGCTTGCTCATCTATATTTGAGCGTCGACTCACAAACAGATAGTCAGCTAGGTAATACTCAAACTCCTCCTTCACAAACTTAAGGTTGCCTTGTTTATTATCCATTTTCCTCACATTTTCATTTTGTTCACTTAATCAAAATGCGGTTGGCAGTGCTTGCCAGTTAAACTAAGGGAGAGTTGAAGAATGAGGTAAGAGCTGAAAGATGTAAAGCTAGAAGAGATACTCTGCAAGGTTGTAGGGGTCATGGAACAGGACGCAGCGAATGTCCAAAGAATGGGATCGAATGTCCTGTTGGCAGTGGCATTTGTGGATACGGTATAATAAGTAAGTGGGCTGGGAGTGTCGATTGCCGTAAGGAAGGAAGGAAGGCTTAACAATGGAAGGGTGTCCTTAAGCCAGTGCCAGCTGTAATTGCTCCGATATCGGTGCTGGTGGTGGAAGCAGCGGTGGTAGGTCGAGAAGATATCCACTTCAACCCGCAAAGTCATGTAGAGTTTGATCACTGAAGGTGACTTTGGTGAAGGGTAAATAATGACCGATTAGGAGAGTTAGTATTAAATTCACTTGTATCTGCGCAGATTACTGGAAGGCGGTATTTTTGAATGTGGGTGTGATGGGTGTGAGTGCGAATAGTTAAGGGCAGATCCGCGCCTAAAATAGTGAAAGTAAAAGCAGGAATGGGCGCGTGTTCATGTTGTTAGTGAGGATGTGTGCGGAGAACAGAAGCTCCAGGAAAGGCGTTAATCCTGGAGGAGCGGTGAGCGAGGTCGAAAGGGAAGTACGGAACTGATGTTTTGTCACTCAGTTAGCAGGGTTGCACTTGGAGATTCAAAGAGGATGAACTCTAAGTTTTAAAGTCATCCTTACCGCTTGCATGTTTTTTACATAATTAAACAAGATAACGCATTTGCATTTATGAATCAAGAAAACTTCCTCTTTTATCTCCTCTCATGCTTGAACCGTATTTTTACTTTTTTACTTATAATTAAAAGAGGAGAAATAAATCGGGAATTGGACAATCTAGCAGATTTGGGAGAGCTGAGTAAGCAAATATGTCTACTACAATTACGTAAACTATCATATTCGTCAATGGAGTGGTCGTAATGGCGTTAAGAATTGCCTTGGAGCCAATGATCGTGGCTATGGCAAAGGGCCGAAAAGCTTTAGTCAACGAAGATTACAGGAAGCCTCGGGAGCGATCGTCTCTTAGCTTGGTCGCCCCATCCATCACCGAAATCACGATCAGGGTACATAACAACTTGGCTTTACATCATTCTTTCCTATTTCTCTTACTTAACTATCGAATCAATGCCTGTTACCCTTCTCTTTTTCATTTCTTCTCCATTGTCTAAATGAAGTTTCTTGCTAGCGGTCTTACTTTTTAGATCTGTAGTGGTGGCGAATTGCCGATGGTACTCTTTTGAATGTGCTTTGTGGATGCCTAAGGCAGCTGGGGAGGCAGACCACTTAATTTAAATATCTTTTGACAATAGTATCTGACTCGTTTTCATTGTCAAAGTACCCGTTTTCTGGGTGGGATGTTCTGCAATACTGTAGTACATAAATGAGGATGCTCCGATTAATCATTGCATTAATAGATAGATTTTAGGTGTTAATAAATTATTAATAATTTTATCATCCTAGCTCTAATTCTTAAAAAGGCCAAAGGTTAAACTCTGATGGGTTTTTAATCCAAAGAGAGTGATTTGCTCTATAGGTGCTAAAGTAATCCAAGGAAGCACCTTTAACTTAATTTTTATACGATTTAGTGAGTTCTATACGTGTCTGTGTTCATCTCATTCTTCATCTCCTATTCCTACACTCTTGGCTACCCTTCCCCTGGTGACTTTTATGTGACCTCTTGATGCTGATGTAAGATTTTAAATAAGTTTTGTCAGTCTACCAATTATTGCATATATCTTCTTGCATTGTGCCTCACATACCACAACTCAATAGATGCAAGGTGGAAGCGCCAATTGAGCTCGGGACTAATAAACCTGTGGATGAATGGCCGGCGATTCAATTGGCTACAGTGGTCCCGCAAACAGAGTTAAATTTAAAAAAATCCGATTCTGCATGACTTCTTTCCTCCTCACTTGCGTAACGCCCAGGACTGCATGCAAGCAACTATCTTAAGGATTCTGTAGCACTACTACCACCGTCAAAAGGATGTCAAATTTCCCGATCAGATTAATGTACAGATTCGAAATCGATTGCAAATTAGATGCAGAAAATGTGATTCCATACTCTAGGCAGAAAGTTAGAAGATGGACCAAAAAATATCATTCTTTTTGATGAAATGAGACTAGGTAGAGTGGTTCGACATAATGCAAGAATGACCTACAATTCTGCAATTTTAATACATTACCAAATTTCAAAATATGTATCGTCGGAATCCATGGAACCTCTACTGATTTCTGACAATTTCAACAATGCTAAAGGTTCTCAAACCATCTCAACCTCAAATTCTCCATCGGAAAATGGTTGGCTACTCATGAGACTAACTGCTTGCATTTAATGTGAAAGAAGTAAAGTGACGCCCAGGCAATATTTGAATACAAACTTCTACCATCGCCAATATTGACATGCGCTCCCAAAGCAAATAGAACGCACTCTCCGAATTCCTTCGTAGCTAAGAAAGTCCCGCTTAGGCCTCCAGCTTTAAAGGCGAATACAACCCCTGCCTTTGTCCAAATACAGTACAGTGAGGTGGATATTATTTGTTGGTAAGGTCATCCAAAAGTCTTGTGTTTTGCATAATTAAACAAATAAACAAGTTCCACTGTTAAACCTGGATTTCTCCGTTTACACGCACGGATGTACTATAAATAGAGTATTTTAATTTTAGTGAATGATGAGCATATGTCAAGGGACAGCATAGTTTCGGACCAAAGAAAATATTAAAGTTTGGCACCTCAAGCTTGGGACTTCATGCAAAAAATAGATAGCAGGGAGTTAGTCAAAACCCGTCCTCTGCTTTGCAATTAATGTAACTTTTGCTCGAGAAGGATTTATAATCCAAATTAATAGCATATTTTCTAGATTGTATACCGGATCAATTTCAGTCGACAGCAATTAGTTCACGTCCAAATAAATTTCTGCAGATTAACACTTTATACATAAAACAAATCTTAACAGTACATTGTCTTCTATTTTTGTGGATTCCAATTGAAAATTAGCTCATAGTACAGTTTTTTGTAAGAAAAAATGTAGCGTGCAGATACCTCCCTGCAGACGAAAGATGATATAATACCTGGGCAGAATATATATCGGGGCTTGGGCTACTGGCCTAGCCCAGAGGGTAGCCCACCTGGCAAAGGCACATTCACCAAGACATGAAACAGCACCTTACCAAAACCGAGAGTTAAACTACCAACGTATTACGTAGCCCTTCTCCTCGACACTCCTCTACCTTAATCTTTAGCGCCGGCCATCACAACGTAGTCGGTGCTGTGGGACAAGCACACAACAACCCAACCGCATCAGTCATCGAATTTATAAGCAACCGAGGAGATACTTAGCTGCAACATCACTGATCCCTTTTGGCATTTTAGCTGGATCGAAAGTTTCCTACGGTTGGGAAACTGGATTCGGGGACAGGGAATCGTAGGCGTAGAATCACTGGCTAAAAAGTAGATTTACATAAGGGAGGACGAAATTTAATACAGTTCTGTGGGGAAGGTGCTATGAAGGAGGAGCACCTAAGTGGTCTCTTTCCTAAAGCCCAGAGTTAGACATTCAGCGTACTACAACACAATTACATGCAATATGTTGGTTGCTTGTTTAACTCTCGTTTTCAGTAGAGGAGTCGCTTAGCTGCTCCGTCATCGTACCCTCGCCTGACGATTAGCCTCTCGGCCATCCCAGTGGCCCCAGGCCCTGCTGATGTCGAATACAAATTTGCATGTTCTGCTGGAGTAGTACATCTTTCGGCTTCTAGAGAGAAGTTCTGGGACGCTACTCATAGCGCACTTTCATGTCGATGTGTGGCAGTTCCTAGAGAAGCAATGCGTTACGGATTCCGTTTAGTTCACTGTTCTTACACCACTACTGTAAATAAATCTATCGTAAGTGGCTTAAACTCACACATTTCGCTTGCCGTTCAGTTACCAGCTACTGTTTAAAATGTACCGAAAGTAATTCCTTCGTGGAGTGGATTTGCCGAAGCTGCTGCCAATTTGACACTCAAAATTTTCAGGAGGATACATTGAGACACAGTAGTGAGAAAGCCGGTTTATTACAAACAGACAGGAGGGCAGACGGACCAGCACCGGAGGCTTATGTTCAAGCTTGAATTTTATCAGCTTTTAACCCAAAAATTACGCAAATATAGTGGTTAAATGAAGAAGTGTACGCTTCAAATTTGATTAAGGAATTACTCTCTTTGTTTTCCGTACGGTAGAGACAAAGGAAGTTGGACGTGTTCGGCACGGCTAATCGCTGTAATCTGCTCTTCACGCTATCGAATTCAACCAAGACTGCCGTGGCTTTAAAACTTCGTAAGAAGTCAAACTAACAAATTTAATTGTGTATTTTATGGCCTGCTGCTGCCATCAATGTGGCAGTCAAAGCTCTTCTGGAGGTGTATTAGGAGGACGATTCGCTACTAATACACGGAAGGGCTGAGAAACTGCCAACCACCTACTGGAAAAAAAACTACTAACTCGCTAAAATAATGCCCCATGGTCTCGTCTTCCAGTCCATTCTCAGGTGATAGCTCAACCGGTACACTTGAGGGAACCAAAAGGTTTGGGCGATTGTTGAGATTAGGATGCTATCTCAGCAAAAAAAAAACAGCAAAAAAATATTTTGTGGCGCTTAGCCTATCGAAAAATATGACGCTCTTAACTTTTGACCGAGTAAACTGAAGTCATGTGTGGTCGACTAAACCAGCACATGACCTTCCTGAGGGCACGCGATATTCCCCACCCTCCTCCACTTTACTCTCCCCCAAATTCACCTCCTTATGGAAAACCTACACTTTTAGCTGGATTTAGGGACTTTGATTCGAAATGTGTTGCAACTGTCTACCGAAATTAGCCTTGCATCCCAAGGCTGTGTCCTGGACTTTTCAATTGCCTAGGCAGCATCCGATGTGGAGTTAGACAAGGCACCCAACTAGATCCTATTAATTATAAATAGGAAAGTTATAGAGACTATCAAAAATAGCTTAATAAAGGATACCTTTCATAGTGACTCAATGCCTGAACAACCAATGAGAAGGTGGCCAAAGTATTTTTGTCCCGGGAACGGGAATTTTAGAGCCCGCCCGCACGCCTATTGGTTGGCGCGCCCTGAGCGGGGATCAATAGACGCATCCCTCCGTCCCCAGAAGCGGACGCCCTGACGACGGACAGGCGAGGAAGGGATGGTGCATTATCATCCGTGTGTTGTGGTAATAAATGACATTTTTGTCTTTAACAAACAGACTTTTATAAGAGTCGACTGGCCTCGCTCCCACAAATCAAACGGTCGCCCCTTGGCGTGGGTCTAAAACCCCAACCTTGAAACTTGCTCAAAACATGATGAAAATAAACCCCATGAGTACTTAAATCGAGGTTGATTTTGTCCTAGAAGTGATTGTCCATTTAATCCTCGACATTCCCTTTCCTACAAAAGGCTATAAACGGCATAGATTACGAATTTTACCACGGATATCCACCACACTGAAAAAAGGGAATCCCTCTTGTTCCCTTTCCCGAAACTGCATGCATCCGTGGTCATAATTTACCTTATTCCACCTGAATCCATGGCTGAACTAGAAGTGGGCTCCTTCTCTTGACAAAAAACAACTCCAAGGCATGAAATCCCCCTTCGCGGATGAGTACATTCATTCATGAAAGTTAGTAATAATAAAGCATAGGAAACAACTTTATTAAATGAATGCGAGATGAGGTTTAATCGCATAGGGATTGTATAACAGAGTAAGGGATAAAGAGTTAAATTGATAAATAATTTGTAAGAAAAGAGTAGAATACAACAAAAAGCATGCACATACGCGCAGGAACTGAAAAAGATAATCACAACATTTGCGTCGCATCATATTTCCATAATAACTTCGACGGTAACGGTAAATGGATATTGTACGCCAGGCAATTCCTAGCTCCTCGCTCCCCTTTTGCCCACCTCCACCTCACACATTTGCCGGTCCGCCGCCATGTTGACCCTGACCACCAGCACCCTGACCCCCTGCGGTAGCCCCAGTTGAGCCCGGGGGATGGGAGAGTCGCTCAAGGTCACTGATGAAGGTCTCAGGAGTGAGGAGGTGAGTACCACCTACGAGGATATCCCACTGTCTTCCTCCGCCACTGCCGCCCCCTCCACCACCACCGGTGCCGGCACCAGTAACGGAGGTGTAGGCCGCCATGACCTCGTAAGCGCAACGCATTTCGGAATAGGATATGCCACCGAGAATAAAGAAGATGAGTCGCGGTCCCGAGCGTGTCTGGGCGCCCTTCTCACGGTGCCATTGGCCATATCGCGCCGACATTGAGCCGCCGCCACCGCCGCGACTCAAACCGCCACCTCCACCGAGACCGGAGGATTTCACTGGACCGCCACCGAAGAAGGGGAATTGACGCACGTCAAGGCGATCCTCACAAGCGTCCTAAAGGAAAAGAAGCCAGAATTCTTGGGAGAGAAATGACACAATTAAACATGTCGAAAAGAAGCAGAAAAGATGAATGAATTAAACAGATGAATTAATCGGAGATGAATAGAAGAACAACACGTACGTAAGTGGATTTATGGATCTCTACATACCTCAATGAGGTCTTTCAGATACGGTGTCCATCGAGACATTTGGTACTTCGGCTCATCTGCGCGGGTTCGACGATTGGCTGGAAGGTAGGGCTGAGGAGCCTTTCGACGTCCAATTGTCTACAAAAGTGCAAAATGGGTTTAGGTTACACAAAACAAGCGTGATCAACTTCGACTTGTGTACAAAGTCGCTGCAATGTTGTGATTAGCCTAAACGCACACAGTGAACACAAGCTGAACGGTCGGAGAAGTCAAAACAGTCGATTTAAAAAAGAGAGAAGGGTAGAATCGCCTTAAAATGCTGATTTGTTACAAGGATAACGGCTTATACAGCGGGGTTTTTGTTTTACATTCTTCATTACATCTCGGAGGATAAAAAAAAACATCGCAAATCCTGGAAGGCATTTTACGAGAAAGATACAATTCCTCGCTCAGCCACCTGGGATGTGGATTAGCAACATTTTCACGCCTCGGATGACGCTGAAAAATGAAACTAATACAAAACTCGTGTTTTGTGAGGAGGGGCGCATAAAAACAGTTTGCTACGCACCGGACCACTGCCGGCGTCAAGGAGAACAGGGACTCCGAGAGCAGCGAGGTTGCGCACAACTGCAGCCTGGGGCTCGGGGATTTGGGCATGTTGGATGAGCTTGGCCAGATTCTCCTCGCTAATACCGCCGCGTTGAATGACGTAGAGGAGGATGAGACGCAATTTGTCGTACGTTGAGACGTTGGGGTCAATCAGTAGGGGCACGGTGTTGCGCATGTGGTCTTTGATGCGCTCACCCTCGGCGTCTGTGCCCAGGGCCAAATCCTACAAGACGAGACAGTGGACATGGATTAGAAGCCGACATCCCCTTTTTCTGTGCATAAAAATTCAGCGCTACATTCGCTGCACCTTCACCTCTTCCGACCTTAGGCCTCACACTTCAACAAAGATTCCCTGAGTATGGGCCGATAAAAAAAGAATCTTTTGCTAGAGGAATGGGTAACTCCCTCGTTGCTACGACATCCACTATACCTTCATGACCTGACCTGGGAGCATGATTGATAAAATATAGAAAAGGGGCAGATACAAGGGCCTACCTGTTCGACTTTGCAAAGTTTGTTGGTGTACGTCTGGTAGTTGTGCATGCAGTCCTCCGCAAGATGGAAGTGTGTGGAGTACATGGAGAGCTCTTTCTGGTACTGAGGCATTTTCTTCAGCATCTGCGAGAGATCTCGCATTGTTGTCTTTTCACCGCTACTCGCCATTCGCTTCTCCTCGGCAAACTTCTTCAAATTATTCGTCACCTAGAAAGGAAAGGGGCGCCAGAAATAATCTTTAAAAAAGTTTTACAAGTTATTGACATCCTGGAGGAAGAGAGGGAGCCTACCTGTTGGGAGACCACAGCGATGTGCTGGTGGCGCAGCTCCCGCCAAAGATCGTCAGATTCGTCTAGAATAATCTCCTTTTCTCGCTCCTCGGGTCCTGATGTGTTGATGTAGCTGGCAGGAAAAGTGCATGGATGCGCTTGTAGAGGATCACAGTAACAAAGTCGCTCCGTTCCACCTCATGGCAAATGTTCAAAAACTATCACGACATGACCTACTGTCTCTCTGGGGTCTTTTGTACACAAAAAGAAAGGAAAAAAATGTGAAAAACCCAAACCACCACGGAAAGAGCTGAGTCTTGTCGATAAAGAAAGAGCAAGAGAGCGACCACGCTCGAGTCTACGAAATAGCGAAGACCTCGCTGCAATACCAAATCATTATATGAGTCGCGGCCTTGTGACTTCGGTACAATTAAAGATCATTGCGATGATGGGTGTACAAATCTACTGACTGACAGTACAGAGGTCACGTATTAGTGCAGGGACATTCAAACTCGCGTTTGACAATCCATCAATTAGGTTGTGGTTCTGTTATTTCTAAAAAATATCGAGGCCATGAAGGGATTTGAGGCCATCCCATTCAGTGACAAAGTGGCAATGGCCACAATTGTGGTCCGCAATTAGCTCAAGATTCAGCCGATCCGTGGGTTAAACGACACTGAGGAGCACCTTAAAACACCATATGTAACACATGAACCATGGAATTTCACACCAAATGTCGGTGGTGCGTTTTTTCTAGCCTAGAGTCTAGCCTTTAACACCTAGCCGGTATATCCGTGTCCCTAATTAAAAAAAATAGTGACCGGACTTACGAAGCATGTTTTAACGCCGAGGAAGTGAAAGCAGAAAATACTAGTCGGGACGTAAAGAGAAAGTGGAGGATAATGAAACAACTAGCTTGCATAAATTAGCGCGTAGGTCACAATCTATCGGTAAGTGGTGCAAGTTCGTTGGATTCTATTCCACAATTCAAGTTTCTTCTTGTGGCCTAGCCAAAGTACTTAAACACTGGCCTTTATGTCAGCGAATAGGCAAAAAAAGTTGTCCAGTGCGTCGCTCCAAGCGATTAGTGTGAAGTGAATCATGTTCGCATTTTAACAAGGACCAGTAATTAAAAGTGGAGTTATTAAATGTCGGGAGAGTCGGCTGGTATACGTGACCATGGACACCTAGGCAATTTAAATACTCAAAACTTTGAAAAGGCATAAATTGAATTAAGAATGCGCGTTAGAGGTATGTACGTCCAAATTAACAAAGCCAGACTCATTTAAACAGAGTGATGCCCCATAAATCAGTAAGGCAATACACGAATACAAGGGAGTGGAATTTCGATTAGTTTGCTTAAAAACACTGCCCACGATGAATAGAAAGGCGCCCAAAGATGAAAGTGTTAGTGAGAGGAGAGCTTGAACAGTTTCTGTAGCTTTTAAATGCCATCTACTACTACGCACTTCTGCTTACGAGATTTCAAGTTTAATAAGGTCAATGATTATGGCTGTAACCTGGCGCCCAGAGTACCCTTCATATATCAAAGCAGACGATTTTACGAGGGAGAACTGTATCCTCACGGTGCATACTTAGCACAACTGAGGCACCTGCGTGGTTTTAACGTACTTACTCATGTGAAATCCAATATTGTAAGCTCCATATTTACAAAGTACACATAAATGTTTCGCAGATTCTTTGGCGTAAAATGACAGTGGATAGGAGGGTAAACTCGAACACTCAAAGAGGATGATTACCACAGCCCATTCTTCTTCACTGTTCCCAAGGCAAACGCCAAAGTACCAGAATGTCGTGTAAGTTATCTGCATACAAGCTCATGGCTAGCATTAAAGATGGCATAAGTGCAGTTCAAAGTTGAATTACAAAACGTACATACTAAAAGCACATTTTTATGCACACTAACCGATAGACGTCGTTTTCAATAGCCAGCAGATCATAGGCCATGGCCTGGAATGTGAGCTCGTGGAGAATTGGCGAAATTGGATCAAATCCTCGATCCAAAATGACCAACTGACTGCGATCCTTATAAGGGCCCTCTCCCATCTGTGGATCGTCGGCCTTGTAAGCGTCCAACTTCTGCTGCACCAGCTGGGCGAATTCGCAGTTTTTGTCATGTTGGCTAGGATTTCGACAAAACAGCGTTGGTTGGTGATATACAAACAACCAAACAGCTTAAAAAGTGGATACCTTCTGTAACGAATAGGCGGATATTCGCCAATAGTGGCGCAAAGGGTGGCAATCTGCTCTGCGATATGTTCTAAGTGGTGCATTTGGCCTGGATGTGGAGGGTAGCTCTGGTGGAAATAGAACTGCGTACTATCAGGGGAGTCAAGAGAAAAAACCCGACACTCTACGGGTAAAAATGCTATATTGATCTCCTTCAGTGTCTTAATAAAAGGGGCGCAATTTGACTGGCAAAGACGATTGAAAAGTTCATCTGGACAAGCTAAATTAAATAAGAGGAGAAAAAAGTGGACACACCCACCTTCAGTTAAAAATACGTGAGCCGCTTTATACTGATAACGCGGACCTTGAAAATCATTCATAAGTGCTTGAATTGACTGCAAAATACATTATTAGTTGATGCATTACTCGTTCTGTGGGAGTTATCAAATAAATTGCTTCCAACGGAAGGACCTCACGCCGTTTACTGGCATCCTCAACAACTAAATCACAATAAATGGTTAAAGATGAACAAACGTGTTATTCCCTCATTCATTATTTCATGCATTTTGCAGCATGAAGACACAATTCGAGTCGAGAGTTTGTCCAAAACAAGGACTTTCCACTCCTTTGGCTTCTTCAGAGGAAGTATTACCTCATTCATAATTTCTGAAGCAAAATCCATAAAGCAATCAAAAAGCATACTTTTCGCTACACATTGCTTTAGCGACATCTTCAAGAGTGAGTAGCCGGAATGAGAGCTTGAAAAGTCCCAACATTTTCGAGCGAAGTAAAATAAGAAGTGAAGGTCACAACAGAAGATGACAAAAATAGCGAGACATTGGAAATCGGCCACTAATTAATGAAAAATTATCTATGGCATTAAAACACTGTCAAAACCTCTTTTTGGAAAACTGACGCCTACAAAGTAGTTTTATGCTTAGGAATAGATGCATCATGATAGACAAGGCAATAATGTAGCGTTCCTAGACTCTCTAAAGACGAAGAAGACAAAATACTTAGACAAAAGTTGTCTGAGCTATTAGTAAGGTCCAAAAGGCCAGCCCAACCAGCAAGGTACAAGAAGGCTAATTCAAAGTACAAAAAGTGGCGCCTCACCTATGGCGAGGGATCAACCACTATCGTACTTTGTACTTTGTACTCTTGTACTTTGCATCAGCCCCCTTGTGCCCCACTGGGTAGGCTGGCCTTTTGGGCCATGTCAATTGCCCAGACACATTCGCCGTGCTGAATAGATATATTCTGTCCGAGTATTGTTTTTTCTTTTATCTTTGGGGAGTGCCGGGACGCTACTGTAGCGTCCCGAGACTCCCTGAAGACGAAAGAAGACACAATACTCGGGCAGAATATGTATTCAGTGCATAGAAGGTGTCTGGGCTATTGGCATGGCCCGAAAGGCCAGCCCACCCAGCGAGGTACAAGGGGGCTAATTCAAAGTCCAAAAGTGGC